GGTGACTTGATGACCGCTAGATTTTGTGGCAGAACAACATGCGATATGTCCCATCCATTAGTTTCATGTTCTCAGTTATTTGTCATGTTTATCGAATTTTGAAATTGCGTTTCTGTTGTCACGAGGCTAAAGAATTCACTTAAACATTTGACAAACAAATTCAACGTAATAAAGGTAGCTGTATAGAATGCGAGTTTTCTGCTCTCGAATTCGATATTTTTCCCTCTAATGAAACTCTGCCTTTATTACGCTGAATTGGTTTGTCTTTGGCGAGTGATTTCTCCAGTCTCGGGACAACAGCAATGCGTTCTCAAAATTCGATAAAAATGACAAGTGGCTAAATAGATGAGAACTAATCGATGCGATATATTGCATGTCGTTCTGACATAAAATATGGCGGTCATCGAATCACCTTATGTAGCCTACGCAATAATTGAGCGGCTCTTTATGGAGCATCTACTCCCGAAATGGCCCACATTTTGCAAGTAAGAATTACAATTTCTGGGTTATTTTAGAATCAGCATATGTGCCACTGGTTCCCCTATGCACATAGGTGTTTTTACCTCTAAGCCTGAAATATTAGTTCCGTATTGCCGAATGCAGTCCGAATCTGAATTTCAAGTGACATTTATCTGTGTATCTAATTGTTTTCGATTTATGAAAACACAGAATCAATTATACAAAATACATCAGTGTGTGGTACAACAGATACTGAGTTAGGGTTTTAGGTATTTGCTTGTTCAAATGATTAGATTACTCATTTGACTGACCTAGTCCAAAAAGGTTTGCAAAATTTTTTCAACATGAGAGTAAGTTTCGGATGTTTTTTTACTCGACGTAAGTAAAGCTAATTTTAATGATTAATCCCCTGACCGTCATTTAGAACGAGAACGACTCTCTAAAACATTTCCTCTCCTCCCTCTTCTTAACACTCACTTGGCAGACATTAGGGTTCTTTTTGCAGCAAATTATGATAATCTTCTGAAAATCGTCTCTAACCATTCACACTTATTACCTCGAGTAAGGTTGGGTTAGGTTAGGTTAGGTTATGTTATGTTATGTTATGTTATGTTATGTTATATTATCATATCATCTCTATCCATTCACACTTCTTACCTTCAGTTCCTTCATCATCTCTATCCATCAATATTTCATGCCTTCAGTTCCTTCCTAACTTCTATCCATAAATACTTCTCACCTTCAGCTCCTTCCTAACTTCTATCCATAAATACCTCTTGCCTTCAGCTCCTACATTATTTCTATCTTTGCATGCTTCTTGCTCCTCCAACTTCTCTAACTTCCCTCTCATCTTTAGGTAACAAGGTAAGTAACTTAGGTAAGTATATTTTGTTTATTTTCTTTAGTTTAATATCATTTTTCTCTCCCATCTCTAGGTAAGAAGGTAAGTAACACAGGTAAGTATATTTTGTTTATATTTTATTTGTTCTTTTATTTAATTTAATATTGTTTTTCTCACGCAGGTGCGTCCACACAGTTCGCCCGACGGCCGGACGAGCGCTCCGCCGAGCAGTCCGCCGGACGCTCGGTCTCCGGACAGAGCGTCTGGGAGGCTGTTCGACGTATCGCTCATCCGACGGTCAGACGAACCGCGCGGACTCACCATNAGTGGAGGTCATCAACGCTCACCGGTGCTCATCGGTGAGCGGTGGTGCGCTCCACTCGGACGGGGATCCCTTCGAGATTCGCTCGTGTTACGATTGCCTCGGGTAACCTGTGTCCATGCGGCAGTCGATTCATGGGGTTTCAGGCACCGTCACAGGGTCGGAGCCCGCAGGTCCGGGCGATCTGCGGACGGACCCCTCGCCGGAGCTGGCCGAGCGGCGATCGTTGTTGCGGCGCTACGACCGCGAGAGCAAGTCGCGGCGACAGCGGAACTATC